ACCATTATCGATACTTTTACAATATAGGCCAAACATGATTGAGGACGGAATTAATATATCATGACATTGGTGTAGGCTTAATGTCTGACAATTCCATGAAATCTCAGATGCAAACACATTTTACATTTAAAAGTAAAATTAGGTTGTCTGGTATATTATTATGAATTTTAAATTCGATTTCGATTTTGATTTATTTAAAAAAAGCATTTATATTTACTGTAAGATTAACAATAGAAATTTTATGTTGGCCTATGCCTAAAACACTTTTGGCCCGAAGAAGAATATATTTTGATTACGTCATGGAAAATACAAAAAGTTTCCCACAGAAGTTCCTTTGTCCCAAGCCTCCCTAAACATTTACAAAATCATTGCAATATGAACTTGTTTTGGTATTACAATGAAAACTGACATCGTCCAATCAGAAAACAGTACAAAAATGACGTCATATAGATTTGAAAATGCTTTTATTGAAATCTACGGGTATGCAAAACCTCCAGATAAGTCTTATATTCGTTTAGATTAGCTTCTGCAATGAGTAATGAATTTTGGCACACTTTGACTTCATTCTGGCCCACTGTGCGCCGTCCATACGTCTTCACTACCGTTTAGGGGACTAGTGAAAAGTTTAATGTGTGATATTTTGTTCTTAAGTATGTTGAATTACCACGCATCGAAACAAGAATAAAACTCATTTGAATTACGAAGGGTTTTGCGATCTTTGTCAATATTTGTGCTGTTTTGTTTTATCAGTGCATAATGGAAACGACATCACTTGGGATATATATATCAAACCCACTGAACTGTAGATAATAACATTTATTAATTAATAATTATTAAACTTTTACTTCACAAACAGTCTGATAATTCGAAAGGTCTTTCCAGTATTTATGAATTCAAACATATGGCTAGGCCCACTCACTTTGATTATTGAAATATGATGATGTCTATTGCCATGGAGGTATAAAATTAATCTATGCTATTACGCGATACAGTAATATATGCAATACTGTACCAAAACAAATATGTAATAATACGTGATACTGTATGTTGTATAGGCATATGTTTGTTTATACTACTAAGTGACACGTGAACATATTAAAATATAAATATCTGATATACCAAATCATCATTGGAGTTTTTATGATATATAGCCCTATAGATAAACCTGTTTACCTTGACTCACAAGGAGGGATCGTCTGCGAAACACCTATATCAGAGACGTTGCTGACTGCCAACTAACCATCACAAAAAGAAGTAATAATGAAACAACTGTCATATTTTTGTCACACCACACGAATGGAAGATGTCCTAAAATCACACTAAATGGCAGAATCCATGGAAATAGACCTATAGAAAGTCCACCAAAAAGATGGACTGACAACATTAAATCCACTGGACATTCTGTTGGTATCAACAACATTGGAACACTACATAGGAAAGCTCTAGATAAACCAGGGTGGAAAAGCATAAATCAACCAAACATGTTCAGTAACTCCACGAGGTCAGCTAAGTGCTGTTTGAAACAAGATTTACAAACATGTTCAGTAATTGATATTAACAATGATCATTAATTCATTTTCATCAATTTGATTATTGTCTACTGATTTAATATAACAATGGTCAGATGCAAATGAAGCCAAAAAAAAAAAACCCCAAAAGCGAGTCACCTGGCCCTCAAACATTAATAGGTATTACACAAATATTTTTGACACAGGCATAAAAATGTTTAAAAGTTTGATTTAAAACTCTACATACAAATACGTAACTGAGCAAGAAATTGCACAAATTCAAGAAAATAATTACATGAAAAAAAAATATTTTAAGAATTTAAAAGGGAAAAAATGATAAAAAAAAAATACAGGATCATTATTTATTATAAAATTGGATAAGACAAAATATACTTATAAAATAAATGTAAACTATTATTATTATTTATTGATTACAATTAGGGAGCCTCGCAAAATAAAGCAACGCGTATACGAGTGGACCACGCGATGCGATTAAGGGCAGTTTAATCCCATAGTTGGCCACGCGTTGGGATTATTTTCCTGGGCTACTCCACTTCGTAGTGGGGAATTGATAACAGGCTTAGTGTAAAAACCCAATTAACACAAACAAAAACGTCTCGTATAAAAATAAACCCTATTGGAAATAACGCAGGTTCACGTTATATTTCTGAGAATTACATTAATAATTTATCGAGATTATCGTCACCGTTACGATCAAAACCAACAGACAGCAGAAAACTAGGAGAGGCCTACCTAGGACATAGATATTATATACCTCCATGGATAGGCCTAGGCTATGGCTTACTCAGAAATATTACGGAATAAAATTAAAAATCGAAAACAGGCAATTTTTATGAATTTTTGTTAGGCCTAATTATATCTTTTTTACAGTTAGTCTTTAAAATTATCATTTCTT